CTTTAAAATTTGATTATAAGATAGGTTAGATAATAATTAAAACATTTAATTGATTTTTAGATTTATATTAAAAATATTTACTTTTTAGAATCAAAATACACTTAAAGGAGAAATTATAATTTACTTACTATGAAATAAACTTGAAATATAAGATAAAATTATAATATATCTGTAAGACAATAATTATAAAAAAATTTTTCATTTTGTTTTTAATTTTTTTAAAAATTTCATTTTTTCGTTTTGTTTCATTCATTTAATTTTATTTTTTATCTCAGCTTATTTTCTTAATTTTGATTTTTATTTATTTCATTTTCTTAATTTCATTTTATAGTTTTATTTAGTTTTTTTAATTTCATTTTTTTGTTTCATTTAATTTTTTAATTTTATTTTTTTATCTCATTTCTTTATTTTTTTGTTTTATTTTTATTTTTTTAATTTATTTTTTTAAAAAAATGATAAATTTATAAAATTGTCATATAATGATTAACAGATTACATATTAAAATAAAATGACTAGAATTTATAAAATAACATAAAAATATTTCTAGAAAAATTATATTATAGTAAAATTATAATTATATAATAAAATCAGTAATCATTTACTATACTGAATAATTTGTTATAACATTAATGAATTTTTTATAATAAAGGTCTGATCAGTCTAAATGTTAAATTTGTTATATTATATTTTGACTATAATTAACCTTCATCATAATTTATTATAATATTTTACTTACTATATTATTCTTAACAAGAATAAATCTGATATTTACTGTTAAATATTACAAATAATATATTTATAAAGAAGTTATCTCTAATGAATAAAATTATTTAAATTATATATTATCAAGTATTTATAATAAAAAAGCATATAACTAGTATTAAAAATTAATGATTTTGAATAATAATAAATGTTTGATTTTATTTTTTTATGAATGAAAATTTATTCATTAATTTTTAACATATAATAATCATTTATTCACATAAGTATTTTATAATTATATATATATTACAAAAATAAGTAAAAAAAATTTTTTTTATTATATCATTTGTTTTAATAAAAAAAAATGGTTTATTTGACTAAATATAAGTTAATTCATAACTATTATTTCCAAATATCATGTAAAAATGGTAAGGTTTATTCAGGATAAAATAAATTTATATGTTATTTAAATCTTACATAATATAAAGCATATTAAAAGAAATTATTTTTAATATAAAATTATTGTCTTAAATTAGTTTATTCACTTTATCAATTCAAAAGAAAGAGAACTGAATAAAATTTGAAAGGAAAACTTCTTAAAGAAATATATTGCAAAATAAAATTTTCCCTTTACAGTAAAAGAGCATTATACATGAATATATAAAGGTATAAATGCCTAGTTAATAAAGTAACTAAACAAAGAATATATAGTTAATAATTTTCAGGATCATAAAATTTGAGATAATACTTAAAATTAATGCTCTAGTAAGCTTTTAAATTAGCAAAAAAGAAAACAAAACAAAACAAAACCATTGAATAAATAGCCAAAAAAATGAATATATATTGTAAATAATATTTTAGTTAATAAAATTCAAATTGCAAGAAAAAGTTTGCAAAATAAATGACATATTAGTTGATTGTACATGTGATCTAAATTTATACTAGTAAAACTTATATACATTATTATTTTTTATTAAAATAATCATTACAAAGGTTTCTAATACAGTATAAGTTACATTATAAAGTCAGTTAGATTCATTAAATTATAATAACTAATTTTATTATACTTATATAAGCTTACAAAATCTATGATTTTTTTTGTTTTTATAATTTTTCATTTGTTATATTTTTGCATAAATCCTTGTTAATCAAATAGATTAATAAAATAAAGTTTGTATAGATTTTTATGTTATTTACAACTATAAAGAAAAAATGAGTTATTTAAAGAGGTGTATACATTGCTAAATATCTTATAAAGAAATAAGTCACATAACTGACTTGATTATTAAAATTCCATATATAATTTCAAAGCCTTTTTTTTTTTTTTTTGTAAGCAGTTGAAAAAGTTGATGCAATAACCTTCAAAAAAAAGTAGGAAGTAACTTGAGTTATTACTAATATAATTTTTTTTTAGTTTCATCCTATAAGCAGACGTAACTAATGTACATACGAAATCGTTAATACTTTATTAATATTTTGTATTTTAAGATTAAAGAATTATTAGTATAATCGCGTAAGTACGAATATTTTTCTTTTTTAAGGTGTAAAAGGTTAATGTAATACCATAAATCCGTACAAGTGACCCGGGGCATTTTCTTCTCCTTCTATAGCTTTTCCTAATTTTAGAATTTACTTATTAAAGATAGGTTGTGATGCCTATTCAATTATTCAAATTTTAACTAATAATTATATTTATTAATTAGTTATACAAATACATCATTAAGTTGAATGATAAAATAAATGGAGTCGAAAGACCGATATATTTACGCCCTATTCAATAAATAAATAACTTGTAACCGTTACATTTTACAAATATTAGGGAATGATCGCATAACAAAAGTTCGAAAAAGGTAATGAGGAGTCGAAACATGATTAAGTTGCAAATCTTCTTCTATAGTAGCGTTTTTTAAAAAAAAAAATTGCAAATTGAGTGTATTCGAGAATATTTTTATTAAATTTTAAACAAAACGTTGAAAGAATTTGGGGGACCTCTAATGATGGTCACGGGAACGAACAAGGTGGGGGGCGGTTCCTTTGTCAAGTGACGCGATTTGACAACTTATTTCTCAAACAACAAATTCCTAGCAAGGTTGGCCTCCCAATCAACAAAATTCCTAGCAACTTTTAGGCAAAAAGGGGCACAACAAATCAGTAAAGACAAGCTAAGGGCGAAGAAGGAGATCATTATAGAAAATAATAAAGTAGACAAGAAAAATTTCACGAAAACAAAATAAAATACACAACGTATAGTAAATTCATCCTTAAATAATCGAAATAAGTAATCAAAGAAACCGCAAGAATTCTCATAACCGGATAAAAATGATGTAGGGGTTGGTTTTTCGTATGGTGAAGGTTCACGAGGTTGTGTAATTTTTGGGGTAGTCCTTGGTGGTAAGTGATCCGTTGATGGGTTGATGAAGTTTGAAGGGCGGGCCGGTGAAATTGAATTTAAGATTAATAATTCCAATTTACCGAGCATCCTATAATCATGATAAATGATAAAAATAAAAGATAAAAATATACATGTACATATTTAGAAGATTTTTTTTTGTTTATCTTTGTTATGATTCTAATTATTTACTTGGAGTACAAGTAAATTGCTGAGTTTGAAATTTAAATGTATTATTATTTTTATATTTTGTGTCTGTGTCTGTGTTTTTTTATTTATAAATAAAACTGGGTTGAAATTATTTAGAAATTTAATTCCGGCCGGAATTATGAATAATTCTGAATCAAAAGTAAAAAAAAAAGCTCACCTCCATGAATAAATGGATAAGAGGAGGAGGAAATAACCCAAGGGAGGGATGATTAAAGAAACGATCCCAACTATAAAGGTACTTAGCACCCAACTAAAACAAAATGTGGAATAAGCGAAATCCCAAAGTATCAAATAAATCAAAGCGATCCAATTTTTTCCTTGAGTCAAGGGAAATAGATACGGTTGAGATTGATCAAAACCTTCTTGTGGGTTAATATTCCGTTGAGGAGGATCATTAACGCCTATTCGTGAAATAAAATCACTCGTATTATTGTTATTTTGAGATTTCAAAGTTACATCGTTGGTATGTTATAATGAAATTGTCGTATTACATTACATGTACGTGAAGAAGTTGATGATTTTATCGAATCGACCTCAGTTTCGTTGGGAACCGGAGTTGTTTTTGTTGTTGCCTTTACTGTTGACGAGGGAAGGTTTAATGTTCGAGCCGAATCATTATTTATGATAAAAGTAGGATCAAGATTGTCGTTTTCTTGATCAGATGAATTTCGATTGGTCATTAAAATTATTTTTTTTTAAGAATAATAATAATAAATAATAATATTTTTATTTGAACTATTTATAAGAAAAAGCAAAAAAAAAAAAAATACAATAAAATAAAATAAAATTTGAATTTATAATAAAAAAAATACAGGTGTGACGAGATTAATTATTATTATTTTACTATAAAAAGCAAGATCGATAAGCAAACTTTTACGAATAGGAAATCTAGTTAAATTTGTTTAAAGATTTATACAATGAATAAACTCTAATTAATCTAAAACCAACCCCTTCTCCTCAGCCAAACCCCTTCACCCAAATCCCGCTTTTTTAATCAAAATGTATCAGCCCTGTCGGCCCGATTTCCCATTGTTATAATATGATATAACTTAAAAAAACGGTTCCTTAATGGAACTGAACGAATATAGTGGATTGTGAACTACCATTTGGGCAGTCAAAGTGGCAATGAATTTCTCATTAGATGTAAAAATAAAATCCATCGTGGCATTATCCACATGAAAAGATCCAAAGGTCATGTGAAAAATGATGGTGGTTTATAAGTTAAAAATACAAATCCTTGAACTTATGGGATCCAACTTGTCATGGAATGAAAAGAGATTTAATTGGACACATATATATACACAATAATAACGAGATTGAAAATGGGTGCGACTAGAAAAAAGCCGGTTTTTGAATAATTCGATATAAATAAACAGAATTGGGGTTATTTTTATTTCCTGCATTTAAAAATGGGTTGTCATGTGATGAGCCAAATAACCTCATTGAAGCCACACATCGAATAACGAAATTGGTAGGTATTTAAATTCCATTACTTTTGAAAACTTTAAATTTAAATTTAGACAAAAAAGTTGTGATTACTTAACATACCATAATTGTTATAAAAACAAAAATGACTGTGTCTTTCTATGATATTTCTCCTTTCGGTAACATAAATAATCTTGAACTTTAAAATGTTTATATTGTATGTTACTATTTTTAGCTAACATTCTTTTTACATAAGTTGAAACCTTGTGCAATAATGTTCTTGCATTCAAAAAGGTATGTGGGCGTAAAAATAAAAAAATGAATAAAATATTACCCTTTTTTTTTCAACTTCCGCTCATCCTCTTTGATGTTCAAACCGTCGAAAAAAATCTTTTTTTTTTTAAAAAAAAAAAAGAACCCCGTGTTTCAAGAAATTTTTGAAATTAGGGTTTTCCATGTAATGCAACCAACTTTATTTTTAAGCGTCAAAATTCATAAAATTAAAATTTGGTCATCATCCGATAACATTAAAAAAAAAGGACATGATAAGATCATGTCGTCATTGATTCCATGACATCAGAGGCGAAAATATGCACGCTAAACTCCAAAGAAATGTGCCACATCTCCTGAAGTAATTTTCCACGCCATTTGGGCTCATTTCGTAATTCTTCGTAGGTTTTCGGACACCGATTGAAGCCACAAAATTTGTTGGTGCTGCGGTGAACTTTTTTGACAACTGATGGTTGCTGTTATATTTCCTTTTATGAATAAATGTAATTTAACGAAAATAGCATAAATGCCTAACGTTGCGAGACCCGAAAAAAAAAAAAGTTTATTTATAAATCGAAGTGGCATTCGGATGGGGAAATTGTAATAATGAAGTAACCGATTCCAGAAGATCGTTCTTTTTGTATTTCCTCTATTAATACTTTCAATCTAAACCTTAATTGTGCAAGCCAAAATGCCCTAACATTATGTTGTTGAATTGATTATCAAAAATTTCCTAAATAAAGCCCTTTTCTTCACAAAATAAATTAATAAGTCATTCATGCTGTTTACGTTTGCTTCGGATTGGGAATAATTATTTTAAATTATCTTTCCAAAAATATATGATGTGCGACCACAAACATGATTAAAAAAAAAAACTATTTTGGGCAAATATTAATTTTAATATATTGTTGTTCAAAAATACAAACTAGGTTTTTTTTTTTTCTTTTTCCCCTTAAATAAATTTAATATTTGGTCCAATTGTGACATGTTGTCCTCTATATTTTTTGTGCATTCTCTTTAAAAAAAAAAAAAAAGCTACTTTATTACTCGCCCTTTCTTTCTTCCTTTTTATAATCTTTAAACGAGCGTTCCGTAAAATTCTTCGTTTAAAATAAAAACACGAGGTTGAGAAAGGTAATTGATACATATGTTGGTTACTTGTTTGTTACGACGCCATATTGCAGTTAACTTTTAATACGAGAAAACCTTTTTTTTTTTTTTTATTTATTTAAGTTATTTTAAAAAATATTTTGAAAAAAAAAAAAATTCACGACTTACATTTTTTTTTTTTCCTCCCTTTTTCTTTCTTTCCTCTTACACTTTCCTTTTCGCAGCGGGTAATATAACGAGTTCTTCAAAGTATACCACGCCTATAAGAGGTTTACTTTTTGCACGTCCCGGCTCCACAAAAAAAGAAACTTCTTTGTGCCCTTTTTTACAAACGGAGTTTTTTTTTTTTCTTCTTTTTTTTGTATTTGTGCTTAAAATAAAAGGCTATAAAAAAAAAAAAAAACTCTCCTCACTACCGTTTACTAAATAGATATAAGCTGGTTCTTTTTTTCTTTTTTTTTGCGTTACGTATATAGCAAAAAAAAAAAGAGTCTCGGTCGTGTATTTATTATAGATCATTTAAGAGAAAAAAAAATTCATCATTAATGCTATAATCATTTCAAAGGATTTTTTATGAACTTTGAGGAAAAAAAAATTATTAAGATATATATATATATATAACAAATAAAAAATGTCCAGTAGAAAACCATTACCAAAACTTCCCATAAATAGAGATGATTCATCATCTTCCGAACAATCATATCGTAATCAGCATCAGAAACGATATCAACGACAACCACGAAATGCAAATTCTCCCCCAGTTTCACCTTCTCCTCTGGGTTCACCAATAAATAGTACCTTCGATGAAAATTCGAATTCATACTCTCCAAATAATTTTTACAATAATAATATTAAACCTACATCCGAACGAAGGGATTCATATCAAAAAAATATAATATGGGATCGGCAACAGGAACAGATCCAGCGCCAAAAGATCGGAAATTATCAAAAATATCAGCAATATAATAATAATGATAATAATAATAATAATAATAATAATAATGATGACCAAACAACGTCGTCTAATGTTAATACCGGGAATGCTGATGAAGAAGGTGTCTCGGATTTTTACCAAAACGTTTATCGCCCCTCAAGTGGTGGAAGTCGTAATAATTTCTCGGAAAGAGGCAAGGCAAGAGCTTCCGTTGCTTCGATGCCTGACTCTAACATCCAGCCTGCAGGTAAATGTCACGCTAAACATCACACCCTTCATTTATTTTTGTGGGTGACAAATATTTTCATCTTTTAACTCATAAAATATTTTATTGTCTCCTTCATTTAAATCACAGAACGATCACCGTCTTCAAGTTCTTCTTCACAGACACTTTTTCAAAAGGATTTTGATAAATTAGCTACTCACCGTTCTAATACCCCCGCTAATTTAAATAATTTGGAACAAAATGTTCAGGATAATGTGGAAATGAATGTGTTAAATGATAGACATACAAGCCTACCACCTACAACATCAATGAGTCATCGACCACGTCCTCAAGCGGAAGGTCCAACCCCTTTATCCCCCGAAAGACCTAAAAGTCCTTCAAAAGGTTTAATAAGAATGCCATCTATAATAAGAGGCCTTAATGATTCCACTAATGCTGAAACTGCAAATTCTCCTCCACGCCGTCAAAAATCTCTCGTTAGACCTGAACGTGCACGTAACAATAATTATCGTAATAGCAGAATTGGCACTTCGGCGAGGCAAATGTATGATGACCAAATTGGTGATGAAGAAACGAAAAGATGGAGTGTATTTTCTGGTCCGGGGGGTGATGATAGAAGAAAAAGTCTCATGTCCAAAAGAAGTTCGAAAGAACCTCCAAGAAAAAAAAAATGGTATCAATGTCAGTGCCCATCTTATTGGGTATTATTTTCCCGTGTTATTACTTTTTGGGCCCCTTCTTCCATCTTATCATGTTGTGGTATGCATGATAGGTCGGTACAACAAGCTTGGAGGGAAAAAATTGCTTTAGTTACGATCATTATATTACTTTGTATTTTAGTTGGTCTCTTGACCTTTTCTCTTCGAGATGCCCTTTGTAGGAAACTACCCTTTGAAACGATTCCGGTTGGTCGTGTCGTAAATGGCCAAGCAACAATATTAGGAAAGATTTATGATTTACAAAGCTACCATCATAAAGTGGTTCCTCCTTTTGTTAATAATTCAGATTTATCTAGTCCAGAGAATGCTCTTCTTAATCGAGCTGATTTATCATTCTTGTTTCAATCGGTCAACTTTGAATGTAAAGACGTGTTGAAACCTGACGTTGCAAATGCTGATGGATCGGTACTGAATTATTTTCCTTGTGTGCCTGTACGTGAATATGATATCCCGAATCCAGATGCAAACCCAGAAGGCAGGGGTTGTCATCCAAATTATAGTGAACGAGTTGATGCTCTCAGTCAATTCAAGTTAATAGGAGAAATCTACTTTGAATGGAGAGATGTTGAAAATTCTGAAAGAAAATACGTTGTATATAATGGGTATTTGTTTCCACCTTCCTTTTAATAATTTTAATTTATTTACGATTTTTCTTAACAATTTTTTTCCCCTCCAAAAGTCATGTTCTTGACCTAGATCGATTCCAATGGACGGTTCCAAATATTAATTTACCTGAAGCATTAAATAAATTAATTGATGATGATGATGGCATATTCCACGGTCACGACATCACTCATTATTTACAAACGAGTCACGAAATGGTTAAAATAGGCAAGTGTATGGATTCCATCGTCCGGGTCGGTGTCGTTAGTTTAACACCACCAGGTTGCCTCGTCACTGATGTGATAACTTATGTCAGCTTAATTGTAATCGTCAGTGTGGTTTTGGTTAGATTTTTTTTGGCTGTTTTATTTGGTTGGGTTTTGAGTTGGCGTCTTGGTAATTTTCGTGAAGAGACTGCAGAAGAGATTGCCCAACGAGAAAGTGATATAGAGCGTTGGTCAAATGAAACTAACCATTTACGGTCAAACGCAAGGTAATGAATGATCCTTGGATTTAACAAGGAAAATATTTATTAATAATTCTTGTTAAAACTTAATTTAATATGTTATAATATCTATTATAGGGATTCGAGACAAGATTCTGCATCATCATTCAATCTCACTAATAAATCAAGATTTTCAACGCTTCCTCCTGGATCAGCACCATTTGTTGAACGAAGAAGACCAACTAGCCGACAATTGTATCCGAACCAACCTGGTATGAAGAATTTTAATGACGGCTCAACCAGTTCACTTTTGGGACCAATGTCGACTAATGGTAATTCCGTAGCTATGACGAAAGATTCGAACGGACTTGTCAAGACAAGTCATTCATCTTTTAACGAAAACAACAGTCAAGGTCGAACGGACTCTCTGTCTTCCACCTCATCGGACGCTCAAGTCTCTTCCCATCCAAACTTGGACCTTACCAGCGAAGCGCGATTAAACTTTTCATCGAAGCACACCATCATGTTGGTTACATGTTATTCTGAAGGATTACAAGGAATACGGACGACCCTTAACTCTTTAGCAAATACGGATTATCCTACTTCACATAAACTGATTATGGTCATCGCAGATGGGGTAATTTTTGGTGCCGGAAATGAACTTTCCACTCCGGATATTTGTCTTTCTTTGATGTCCGATTTTGTTGTACCCGTTGATAATGTAATGGCGCATTCTTACGTTGCCATTGCTGATGGAAAGAAACGTCACAATATGGCCAAAGTGTATGCTGGTTATTACAGATATAAAGATTCAACGGAGAAAGTCCGCAAAGTTCCAATGGTGACGATCGTAAAATGTGGAGGTCCTGATGAACAGGATGACAAAAAACCTGGCAATCGTGGAAAACGTGATTCTCAAATTATTCTCATGAGTTTCCTACAAAAAGTCATGTTTGACGATAGGATGACACCTCTCGAGTATGAATTCTTCAACTCAATTCGAACGGTTACCGGCGTTACCCCAGATTTCTTTGAAATCGTTCTAATGGTAAACCTTCATGAAATTTTGTGATTGATTACGAATAATGTTTAAATAGTTTGATCAACTTACATGATTTTATTATCTTTTCTAGGTTGATGCTGATACAAATATTTATGCTGATTCGGTGACAAGGATGGTTGCATGTATGGCAAATGATTCCTCGGTTATGGGTATTTGCGGTGAGACAAAAATCGCCAACAAAAGCGATAGTTGGGTTACGATGATTCAAGGTAAATTTCCCTTGAACAGAAGACTGTATCAAAATTTTATCATTTAAATATTAATTTCCTTCTTTTTTTTCATTATAGTGTTTGAATATTATATTTCTCATCATATGCAAAAGGCCTTTGAATCAATTTTTGGCGGTGTAACATGTTTACCGGGATGTTTTTGTATGTATCGTATCAAAGCGCCAAAGGGAGATAGAGGATATTGGGTACCGATCCTTGCCAATCCGGACATCGTTGAACAGTATTCAGAAAATATCGTTGATACACTCCATAAGAAGAATTTATTACTTCTTGGAGAAGATAGATATTTATCAACGTTGATGCTTCGAACATTCCCAAAAAGAAAAATGATGTTTGTACCTCAGGCAGTATGTAAGACAATTGTGCCCGATACATTTAGGGTACTTAGATCACAAAGACGTAGATGGATTAATTCTACGGTACATAATTTATTAGAATTAGTGTTGATTCCAGATCTGTGTGGGACCTTCTGCTTTTCAATGCAGTTTGTTATCTTTATGGAACTAGTTGGCACAGTAGTGTTACCGGCTGCTATATCATTTACCGTATACCTTATTATAATTTCAATCGTTAAAAAACCTGTACAAATTATTCCACTTGCACTTTTAGCCGCCGTTTTAGGTCTACCAGCGATTTTAATTTTATTGACAACTCGTAAAATTGTTTATGTTGGATGGATGTTGATTTATTTATTATCATTGCCCATATGGAACTTCGTGTTGCCTGTATATTCATTCTGGCATTTTGATGACTTCTCATGGGGACAAACGCGTATTATTAAAGACGAAGAAGCAGGAACGGATCATTCACGCAAGGAAGGAGAATTTGATAGTACAAAGATCGTAATGAAAAAATGGGCAGAGTGGGAACGTGAAAAATATCTGAAGTCAAAAAACCCGATTCAACAACAAATTTCATCAGTTCTAATGAGTCCGGAAGAAAGGTTTCAAAATTCAATAAGGCAAGGGGGAAATGAAAAATCTTCGTATCAAACAATTACGCTACCAAGAGGATCTGCTAAAAGAAATACTACTGGTATGACGAAACCAAGGAATCCTACTGTAGATTCTTTAAAGATACCGCCCCCATTAAGTAATTACTCAACTAGTAGTAGCTCAACAGTCACAGTTGTTACGGATGATTTGGCGTCCTCTCCAACCGAAGCAATAGATTATCGACAAAATTCAAATTCATTACCAAGAACTAGTACTAATTCTATTTATAGTAATAATAATACTAGAAACAACAGTTATATTAGTGGAAATAATAACCCTTCTGAAGAAAATCAAATAAAACGTCGACATTATAGTACGTAAAATAAGAGATAATCATGATCTTTTTTTTTTAAAAAAAAGAAAAGAAAAGAAAAAAAACTTTGAGAAGATTTTCTCTACTCTTCAATAATCGAATGTTTATATATATACTCTTTTTGTATAGAATTGTCTATTTAGTTTTTTTTTGTTTGGTGTACTGGTTGGTGTATTTGTGTATTTTTTTAATTATAGAAAGTTAATAATTTTAAATAATATTGTATTTCTTTGGCGGGTTTTATATATATTTTTTCTTTGAAATAGTTTTTAAATCTTAATAGATTTGATTAAATAAGGTGGTCGGGATTTCGTATCTTTTTAAAATTCAATTATTTGTTACTACTAATTTTTATTTTTTTTTTTTTTGTTAAAAAAAAAAAAAAGAAAACTAAATAATTAAAAAATTGAATATTTGGTAAATTATATATATCTTTTCAAAATACTTTTTAAATTCTTTTTAAATTAGGTTGAAATCAGTCATTATTTTATTTATTTTATCATGGTTTTAATAATGTAATATAAAATCTACAAAAGTTAAAGTATCAATTTAAAAATAAATATAATGAATAGTTGATTAATATCTTATTATATTAGATTAAAGTTTAATAATATTTTTAAAGAATATTACAAAAAAAAAAAAAAAATTTTTTTTTGAGTTAAATATTACTAATTTGAGGCATGCTGCAACAAAACCAGACAAAGTGAACATTTGATTATGTGACATAAATGAGTGGCTGATTATGATGTGGCTGTAAAATTGATCAGGGTGACTGATGACATTTTGAAAGTAATAATGGTGCTCATTCATAACTTATAGACTTGTTAATTTTAACATTCCCTTTATTATACCAGAATGTGATGAATATAGACCATAACAGGATTAATATAGGATTATCTCTATATAAAAAATATTAATATGAAACTAATTTACATTAAATCCACCATAGAACCAAAGAATTACAGCAGTATTAGAAGTATTTTAAAGAAAGAACAAGGTGAAAAAATTGTTCCCTATGTTTTTAAAATCAATGATACCCAAACTCTTTAGGAATACCTAAACAAAGAAAGAATTACTTATAAAATTTATCAAGAGAAAAGGAAAATCATAACAAATAAACGAACATTAACACTAGCACAAGGTGAACCAAGAAAGAAACAGAAGCTGAAAACATAAAGCAAATATCTGTTTCTTTATAAATGCTAATAATTTCACAATTTTTTATAGGCTGTTCAGTAAGAATGACAATAAATTTGCTCTAAGTTCTACAATTCTGACACAATTTATGAGTAGCAACCTTTTATCGTGTTAGAAATAATGATAAGTATAAAAGTAATAAAAGCAGATAAATCATTAGAAAGGTAGCCAAACCAAACTTTAGGAAATGATGACTTGTTTGATCAGCAAATCAAAATAAGCAATCGTAATTATGTTTAACTAGAGGTGAGAGTATAACCTGCCAAATAGTTTTGACTTATATAGAATAATCAGTTGAAAACATTTTTAAATTTTTTTATTCGTAATTTACAGTTTTATTTGTTGCAAACGTTATAGAATTACGTGTATTTGACAAATCTGTTTATTTATCAATTATAAATATTAATATTTTAGCAAATATTTATTGTAATTATTTATTATTATATAGATAAAGAAAAATAGGTTATAAATGTTGGATGAAATTGTTTTATATATACTTCCCTGAAGAAAGTATCTGGACACAGCTTTTTGCGAATTATAGCTTAATTATATTATATTTTTAAATAAATTTTTATATAATTATAAAGTACATGTTCCTGTAAATCTATTGGCTACATTTTATTATTATTTTGAATTAATTTATGTAACACATTCATAAAAAAATGAATTTGATTCTTTAATAATATTGCTTTGCTAATCATTTTTACCGTTCTTATTATAATTAAATTAAAAAATTTTTTAACATGACAAAAAGTAAAGAATTAACCGAATCTGAACGTGATCAAATTATTGGTCTTCATAAAGGTGTTCATAGTCAAAGAAATATTAGTAGTATTACTAATATTCCTAAATCAACAGTTGCTGATAATATTCTTTGTTACAATAATAAAGGAACTATAAAAAGTGCATCTCGTCTAGAACAGTCATGAAAAATAAACAATGAAAATAAATATATTTTAAAAGCAATAACTAAAGAAAACAATCATAACAGTGTTAGACAACTTCAAAAAAATTTGAAAAAATTACTAATGTTCAAATATCAACTAGAACGTTAGTTAAAGAATTATATCAAATTGGGCTTTCTTCTTGTATTGCAGCAAAAAAACTTTTTATAACTAAGGTATAACATATTAACCAATTAAATTAGTACTTGGAAAGAAGACATTGGAGTATTTCTAATGGAAAGAAATAATTTAGAGTGATGAGTCTCATTTTGAAATCTTTAAAAGTGATGGTTCTTATTGTGTTTGGTGTGTTTCTGACGAACATTTTAATATTGAGAATTTGTCACCTACAGTAAAATATGGAGGTGGTGGAGTAATGATGTAGAGTTACTTTTCAAATAAAGGTTTAGGGCTGTTAGTTAAAGTTGAAGGAATATTAAATAGATTTGGATATATTGAAATATTAGAAAAAATTTGTTACCTTAGATAAAATCAAATTTTCATGGCGAAAATTATTTTTTCCAAAATGATAATGCTTCCATCCATACAGCTAAGAATGTAAAAGTATGAGTTCATAAAAAAAGACTTAAAATATTGTCCAATTAGCCGTCTCAATCTTCAGATTTGAACCCAATCAAACACTTATGGGACAAGCTTAATAGACAAGTTAAAAAATGGTTACATCGTCCTAAAATGCATTAGAATTGAAAATTTCTTTACAAGAAGAATGAGCGAAAATTCCTAATACATTTTATAAAAAATTAATAAAAAGTATGCTGAGAAGAGTATATTAGTAGGAATAGGTGGCACACAAGTTATTAAATATAAAATATTTTAATAAAAATAAATTTTTTTTGAATGCTTGGATATTTTCTTCAGGAAAGTGCATTTGTTAAAATATTTCAATGATTCAAAAAAAAACTGATTTAATAATTAATATGTACCATACACGATATTTGTTAACGCATGATCTAGTGTCTTAAATATACACGTCATTTGATATGGGTAATAATTTAATATTTATACTTAGACTTATACTTAAGTTATAGGAAGAATAGTCTCACTTTTAGCAGTAGGAGACTGACCAAAATTATACTGATACTTCCAAAATTTGCTGATTACATCCCAATTTTGATAAAGCAAATCAACACAAAATATTAAACATACGTTAAATAATAATAATGAATTCACAATTTTGATGAAACTGAAAATTTATTATAAAAACAGATTCAATTTTGTTTTAAAAAAACTATAAATCTTTCTAACGTCAATATCTAAACAAGTCATTTTATAAAAAAATAAATAACTGGTAATCAAAAATGTTTCTTTTCACTATTGAATTCGTTTATGAGCTGTTGATAGGATTTGTTATTGGTCATTTGCTTCATTATAAAACATATATTCAACTCTGCAATATAAATCAAAAGCTTAAAATAGCAATTCAAGTAGTCAAATTGAACAAAATCAAAATCAAATCTAAATCCAGCAAACTGCCTAGTAAACAAAAAATACGCAGATGACGATTTTAAAAAATTCTTTGATACAAAATCTGAGCTAGATCCAGATTTTTCATTTACTAAAGTGGCTACTCAAATCCATGAATTATGCAGGGGAAAGGCATTGTCAACTTTTGACTGAATAACTTTTACCAACAAAAAACTAATCTGCAGAAAATAACTGTCAAAGCAGTACAGGAATGGGTTGATAAAGAAAAGGGGAAGAAAAATGATAGTATTATAATAATGATAATGATAATATGTAATATAGATTTCACTATAGGGATGTTATCAGTTTGACTTGGTTCAGTTCAGTTCAAAAACTGCCAGTTTAGTCTTTGAATTGAGCCGACCTCTAGTTATTATTTGAAGTTAAAATTGAAGGATATATAAGAGTTGTTTTCATTATCATTGAGAATAAAAGAGATTCGAATCTAATTCACATCTATTATATTGTATTTCTTAAAGTATAAAAGTAGTTGTATATTATAAAAATTGATTGATCTGAAAAGATCTTTCACGAACAATCTACAGTTGTAACTATGGTTCTAACTTCAGTTGATCACGTATTTGAATTTTTATTGGTTAATTAATATAACTGCAGTTTGTATTTTAAAAAAAATCCTCTGTTTTGAAAAATAAAATT